ACCGACCCAGTCGCGTCTCTCGCATCGACAACAAACGCGAATTCGGACGTGACAAACTTCATTTTATTAATTCCACTTTCCATCCAAAAAGAATCTAGAAAGATATATGAACAATGATAAATCGCAAAATTTCGTCCTTTTGCAGCTACTAAACTAACTGGATTAAAAGTCAAAGACTGCACAACAGTTTGTAACCTCAAAGCTATCAACATCGGTAAGTTTCATCAAAATTCGAAATGTTTCTGAAAATGGGTTGTTCACTTTCACATGGAATGTTCCAAATATGTATATAAAAAGTTTTGGAACACAATAAAGTTAATTTTAATGTTTATATTATTGTATATTGTATATGAAATATATTTAGTAAAATTAATATTGGCATATACAGGGTGGCCGATTTATCTGAAGACATTGAAATATCTCGAGAACTATACATAAGATAAAAAAATGTGTGCAACGAAAGTTGCTCGACACGAAGGGGGGAATCCAATGATACCAAACTCGGCCCCCACCGCCCCCCGGGGGCGGGGTGGGGGTGGGGGACATAAGAAACTTAAATAGGAACCCCAATTTTTTATTGCAGATTTGGATTCTCCAGGAAAAAGTACGCCAAGTTGACCTACGAACTTTAACTTTCGTTTACAGGTGGCGCTGTAATCGATAAAAATCCAAATTTATCAGAAGACATTGAAATAACTCGAGAACTATGCATGGGACAAAAACATTCCTCCTACATTCACCATAAATGAGAATCATTTCGATTTTTTCCTGAACCGTAGCAGAATTCATTTTTTACTTGCAATTCTATTCAACGAATGAAGGGTACACAATAAAAACTAGTCAAGTAAAGTGAAAGCTTTGATTCTGAAAGAAAAGTGACCTCCGACCGAACTGTACCTTTATGACAGACTTGAAAAACAGTCAACAATCCACTTGAATATGCAAGAGGATATTTTTTCGCTGCAAGAATAAAATCAGCGACAAGTATCTCTACTGTGGAACAAACTACGAATTCGCCGTCTCGACGTGTCTCGTCTCGGAAAAAGCCGCGTCGAGAATTCTCGTTTGGGATGAGCACGAGACGAGACGTGGCACGTACAGTCTCGTGTCGTTCTCGTCTCGTCTCGAAAGTCTCGACCACCACAGTGGTGTAAACATTAATTTTTTCGGTCATAAGTCCCAACAGTCCTCAATTCGGGAAAACAAGCGTCCGGGCAAAGGGGGTCAGGACCCCTAGCGCCTGGAGGCCAGGCATCGGACGCTGGACGTCAGAACTCCGTTAGTTTTACTCGGATCGACTTCAAATTTGGACACAATATTCTTGAGATGTTGGGCATTAATAAAAAATAAAAGAAAATGGTCAAAAAAAAGTTGTGAGAGGCAAGGGGCTCACATAAAACAAGCACCCCGATTTCTGAGAGGCAAGGGGACTCACGCTAATCTAGCACCCCGAAACGTGAGAGGCAAGGGGACTCACGCTAATCTAGCACCCCGAAACGTGAGAGGCAACGGGACTCACGCTAATCTAGCACCTCGAAGGGAACAGAAAAATACTACGTCCACGTCGTTGTTCCCGGGTAACGCAAAATGTATTTTTTGATAAATTTGTAATGAACTCCATGATTTTTTTCCCCGATACTTTCCATTATTGCTACACGTATGAAACATTACAACAATAATATCAAATCAAGAAGCTTCCTATTTAAGTTCTTTATGCCCCCCCCCACCATGAGGGGGGGGGCAAGTTTGCTTTCATTCGAAGGCAGCTTTTAAAGCGAACAAGTTTCATTAGCCACCTTTTTTTTGTCCCATGCATAGTTCTCGAGTTATTTCAATGTCTTCTGATAAATTTGGATTTTTATCGATTACTGCGCCACCTGTAAATGAAAATGTTAAAGTTCGTAGGTCAACTTGGCGTACTTTTTCCTGGAGAATCCAAATCTGCAATAAAAAATTGGGGTTCCTATTTAAGTTTCTTATGTTCCCCACCCCCACCCCGCCCCCGGGGGGCGGTGGGGACCGAGTTTGGTATCATTGGATTCCCCCCTTCGTGTCAAGCAACTTTCGTCGCACACATTTTTTTATCTTATGTATAGTTCTCGAGATATTTCAATGTCTTCAGATAAATCGGCCACCCTGTATACATGGTGTTTCTTAAATAGCGGACATTAATCATATAACGCTATTCCTGATTAAAGATTGAGTCGAAAGGTCCTCAAACGAGGGAGTAACCACTCAAAAAATAGATGTACATCTGGACTTCGGACTTTAAGAATTCACCAGACTTCATCGGAATTCATGAATTTATCGGACTTCCTTTGATTCCATCGGACTTCATCTAAATTTATCTGATTTCATCGGACTTCACCGGAATTCATCGGACTTCATCAGAATTCATGAATTCATCGGACTTCGCTTGACTTCATGGTACTTCACCGAAATTCATTGGACTTCACCGGAATTCATCTGACTTCATCGGAATTCAATTGACTTCACTGGAATTCATTGGACTTCACCGGAATTCATCGGACTTCACCGGAATTCATTGGACATCACCAGACTTCATCGGACTTCTGATAGAATGTACACCAGAATTCAAGAGTGGTTACCCCTCGTCCTCAATCATTTTGCAATTTTCATAATGATTGATGAAATATTAATTTCTAAAGATTGCCGAGTAAGCGATTGCCGAATCATATAATGCTATTCCTAATAAAAAATTGAATCAAAAAGTCCTCTACCATTTCGCAATTTTCGTGATAGTTAATGGTTGATCAGCCGGATACGCGCTTATTCGGCAATATTTAGAAATTAATGTTTCGTCAACCATTGCAAAAATTGTAAAATTTTAGAGGACTTTTCGACTCAATTTTTAATTAGAAATAACGCTAAATGATTGGTGTCCACTATTTAAGAAAAACCCTGTATATTACTTTCCTACGTTGGCTTTTAACATAAATTTTCAATGTTATATTTCAAACACAAATCAAATTTAAATAACTCCTTATCTATCATATTTCCTATATATATTGCAATAACGATTTTTACTTAAATGTAAATTGTTATAATTTTTTAAATATCGCATATAATCGATTAATATCATTTTTTAAAGGAATTAAAAATGTGCTTACATGAACTATCCATAATAGACGACACGTTGAAAGCACTCGGTGCGTCAAAGGAATACCATCGACTACGTAACTGGATAATTCGAATGAGAGATGATCGGATGGATTGTATACTATTTTTCTCTTTTATTGACAATTTATCTATATTATGTATATATTTATAGGATTGATTTTAATAACATCAAAGTAATTTGTTCCCCGTTTATGATGACTTACGCGGTATCTGTAAATATCTTAAGTGTTCTGATTTGGGGAACTATTATTGGGTTAGTATTATACATATGTAAATATTTACTTCATAAGCTATTGTTTATTGACAGTGTGCATTAAAATGTTTACACTCTGAGAAAGACTTAAAGATTCTTTAAAATTATTTGAATACTTTAAAGTACTTTATATAATTTCAAATAACATTTTATTAATATTAGCATTGTAATTGTAAAAAATGCATTATAAGATAATCTAAATGGAAAAATAATAAAAGCTGTAAGTTAAAATATAAAAATAATAACGTAATTCTAATTTAGTCTGACTTTAATTATTTATTAACGCAATTATGCGTACATAATGCATACATCTTAATTATAATGAAAAACATAACGAAATCCCTTTCATTCAATTCAGATACACAAGCTCCAGATTCCATCAATTCAACGATCGTTTATATGTACTCTGTTCTGATCTTTTCGAAAACGATCCAGATTATGAAAGACGAAACAAATCCATTTCAGTACGTCAACAGGTGACGGGAGTTAAGGATTGCAAGCATTATATACGGATTATAATGTAATTTTTTAAAAGAATTACTATGTACACACATGCATGCATATACAGGGTGTCTCAATAACTATTATCACCTGAAATATCTTCTCGTCTATAAGGTTAGAGAAAAATTTATATAACCAAAATTACATGATGTGAAGGGGACTATCATATGTGATAATAATTTTTGTCCAGGTGGAGGCGCTCGGAGATTTCAGGGTCAAATTCGTTTTTTTAAATGGAATTATATGAATTTTTTTACATAATATGATTCCTCTAATTATTCAGCATATAGAAGTATTATATGTATATGTATAATATATGTAGAAACAACCTTCTCAATAGCTATATTATCACCTAAAAAAATCTTCTAATCTATAAGGTGTATAGAAAAACTTATATAACCAAACTTATACCGTGTAAAAGGGGCTATCATATGATGATAACAATTTTGTCTATGTGGAAGTGATAAGGAAATTTCAGGATCAACTTCGTTTCTTTAAATGGAATTATATGAACTTTTTTACACAATATGATTCCTCTAATTATTCTGCATATAAAAGTATTAAGGTAAGGATATTAAAAAATCAAAGAATCAATAGTTTATGAGATATTTTATATCTTATTCTGACATATT